ATCACGTAAAGCATATGTAATCTCCTTTTTTTCCAGACTTAACATTTCAGATGATTTAAAGGTTGGCTTTTTCAACACAGACCACGCTACTCAAACAGATTCCAGTGAAATTTTGCCAGTAAAAGAGTTGAGTTCAACTACACAAAATTTGGTGCAGGTAAATCTGGATTTATTTTGAAACTTCTTGAGATAATGTTAAGGCATTATTTGCCTTCATATCTTTTTCATTGACAGAGTTGAAATGATTAAAGTTTTCAAAATATTAGCATCTTTGACAAACCGAGCTAAAAGACAGTTTAAAACATTATTAATATAAGCTGCTACTTGTATTTATGTCTTATTTATGTCATGCTTACGTATGTTAACTTGTTTAGTGATGTGTTTTGTTACTCTCTTTGGACTTCTTTTGAAATCTGTGAATATTTTCTATTTGTGATACTTTAAAAAATTTATCAAATAGTTTTGCATATAGATAAACATAGACAATAATGTTAATATAATGAATAACTGTGTTACCCAGTTATACCCATACAGCTGTGTCAATTTTGACATTCTGTCATATTTACTTTGTTTTTTTTTTTTGCTTGTAAAGGAAAAGGCCATTTCCTCTACATTGGATATCAAGAGCTATTATTAAAAACCCTAATCAATAAAATTGTCACATGAGATAGCACACACAAATACTTTTGTGTATCTTGTTTTTTTTTTCACTTAATATAACTTAGAAATCATTCTATATTGGTACATAAAGAGTTTCCCCATTTATTTCACAAGTATATTGTGTCACAAAAGGTACATTATATATTTAGCTATCTCTCTATTGATGGATATTTTTGTTGTTTCTAATCTTTTACTGTGATGAATAATCCTGCACCTACTCACGCACCAGTAAATCTGTGGTGTGAATTTTTAAAAGTGGGATTTCTGAGTCAGAGGATGTATGCGTTAGTCATTTGGAACGATATTGCCAAATTGCTCTCCATAGAGATGGGACCAATTTATACTCCCACCAGAAACTTTTGAAGATGTCTCTTTCCTACATATTTGCCAATTTATTGTCTTCTTTTATGCCCTCAGAGACATCTTAGAATAATTTTATTCCCTTGTAACTAGATGTGTCCAAATGACTACGTTCTGGTCAGTAGGATTTGGATGGAAATAGTATGTGGTAGCTTTTGGGAACCTTCTTTGAAATACAGTTTACACGCACTCTCTGTTACTCCTTCCTTCCTTCCCTCCTTCCTTCC